CCCCAAAACCCCAAAACCCCAAAACCCCAAAACCCCAAAACCCCTTTCTGGTCCAAAATAATTGAGATTTATTAGGAAGGATCCTGGTTTTGGAGAGTTAGTAAAAAGTAGCTGGCAGTGGCGTGGTTGATGATACCGGTGTTTAGGCATTTTAGGACGAACGAGCGAGGGTAGCCGAAGGATTCTACGGTCTTGAGAGCCTCTTCTTCCAGGTTGTGGGTGGTGAAATCTTCGGTGATGCAGCAGTAGTCTGTGTAGGAGAGCTTTGTTTTGTAGTTTTCGAGGTAGAATAGGTTGTCTACGTTGACGAAGTTTATATTCCCACTAATAGCTTTGAGGTCAATATCTTCATCTTTGTCATCCTTCTCTGTTTTGGATCACTCAATGCTGCTTTTCTTATCTTTGTCCTGATCCTTATCTTCTGATTTTTCTTCTTCTATTTTGAATTGAACCAAATTTTACCTTCAGCTTCTGACTCTTCTTCAGAATCTTCATTTGTTTCTTTAAGCCATTCATGGGCTAAAATTTCAGGAAGGGTTAGTCTTTTCAGAGGATCTAGTTTTATTCATCCTTCAATAATATCCTTAGCATCTTTGGTGAGTTCTCAAGGATACTTGAACTCAGCCTTTTTAATAAGCTACAGAATTAGATTAGATAAAATACTGTATGTAACTCATCCATGTTCGGTGCTTTGAAAGGAACAGTTCCTCATACCATTGCGTAGAGTAAAACTCCTATAAGATTAGTTGTTTGATAAATTTACCTAGGGACCATATGTCAACAAAGAACCCTTCGTAGCCTTTGTCCTCGATTATCTCAGGGGCAATGTAAGCTGGTGTTCCACATTGTTCGTTTATTACTTGTCCTTTCTTTATTATTTTTGAGACTCCAAAATCTCATATTTTTACTCCACTTTCACAGTCTAGTAGAATGTTATCCAGCTTTACATCTCTGTGAATAACGGATCTACAGTGGATGTGGGATAGGCCGTATACAATCTGTTTAAATATAAATTTAGCATCTGATTCCTCCATCCTGCCTCTTCTTTTGATGAAGTGGAGAAGGTCTCCTCCGCCTGCAAACTCCATCACCATGAGGTAATGTTTGTTGCTTTCAAAGACTTCGAGAAGTCTGATAATATTGGAATGGCGGATCTTCTTTAGTATATAAACTTCTTGAAACACCTTCCTTTTTGAGAATTCGTCCTGGATCAGGGACTTATCAATAGTCTTTATAGCAACATACTTGCCTGTGAGCTTATGGATTCCAAGTGTCACTTTCCCAAATGCTCCTTTGCCAATACACTTGACGAACTCGTAGTACTCCAATGTGGTTGGAGGGAGCTCATTATGCTTTTTGATATATTTCTTAGTAAATTCTATCAGCTCTTCCCTCTCAGTAATCATTTTATCATTTAGAACAACTGTCTTAGGCCCTTTCGCACTTGAGGGTTTTAGATATTTCTGGCTGTTCATTGGGACCTTCTGTTCATCCAATTTCGGCAGCTAAATTTGAGACCTAAAAATACCTTAGCTTCTTCTTTACGACTGAATGACTCAAAGCTGGTTCACTTTTGGTCATTATTGGTTGGGGTAGAATCCTTCTTGGCTTCATTCTTAGTGTGCTCTCTTGCTTCTGAGCTCTCCTTCTTCTCAAGTGAGACATTTCTGCCTTTAGAAGAGTCTATGCTTGGTTTTTCTCTTTTGGGGATTTCTAATTTGAGGGCTAATTTCTTTGCTAAGTTTTTATCGTCATCTCGGTTAACAGAGGACGGCTTTTTACGACTCTTGTTTGAGTTCTTAGAGCTCATATCAGGTATATCATCTTTCTCTTGAGACCTCTCTCTTGATCTTTCTCTTGAGGCAAGACTTCGTTTATCCTTCTTCTGAAGGACAGGCTTAAAAATACCTGAGTTATCCTGGGCCATGAAATTATTAGTCTTTGCTAGCTTAGTGTTCATGTTATTTGGGGTATAATAATTCTTATATTTCTCTCCATTTTCTCGCTTCTTGATATTACTCATGCTAGAATCCTTGCTGAAATTATGGCTAGACTCCCTTCTGCTCATCCTAAGACTAGCGTGTTTCTCTCTGTGACCGAAGTAGTTTAGCTTGGGCTTGTCTCCTTTGTCATTATTTTCCAGTGACCTAGCGTCTTTGCGTACCTTACCGTCATAGTTTTGGTCAAGATAAGCATTGCCACCTCCACGATTGGAGTTGACCACCAGCAAGCTATTTTTGAAGAAGTTATTAGAGGCACTGGTTAGTACTTTCCGGTTATTAGCTAATGCGTTTCCTCTTTTAGGGTTAGTTCCAAGCACTTCATTCAACTTCTCAGGGATTTGGTATTCTATAATTAGCTGAAATATGTACTTGGGGTAAAATTCTGCGGTGTATTTTTATACCCTTTACTATTTTTCCCAAGTTTTTTATTATGCACTTTCGGTTTCCTGTTGATGTTGTAATTAGGCCTCTCTCCTGATCCTTTATCCGACCGTGAATTCTGGAAAATCAGCCTATTCGACTGCTTATTTGTTCTTAATTTTAGAGTCAAGGGAGGTATTCTTCTTGAAACTCTTGCCAAAGTTGTATGAATCATTCACAGGGTTGGATTTTCTCCTATTTGCGTAGAAATGACCCATCTTGCTCTCTTTGGCAAGGAGTTGGTCTACTATCTTCCTGAGTTTCTTAGTATCCTGTATTTTACTATTGATCAAATTCTTGTCCTCAAGGTAGGTCAGGAAGTCCTTGAGCTTATGAACTATTTCTTCCTTCTCCTTCTCTTTGTTAGTAGAGTTTTTGATCTTGTTGCTATTTTATGAAATTCTTGAGATATGTCATTAAACGGTCATTTTCTTGCAATGTCATCTTGTTTTTATTTGGGTTCCCAACTAGAGTTATTGGATTCATTTTGAGCTTTTTAGTAAACCGGAGGTCTTTTCTCTGACTCCCATTCACAGGTTTATCGAGTTCTACTTTATTTCATCCTGTCACTTTCTTTGCCTCGGAGGAGGACATTGCTGTTAGAGTCACCAATACCGCCAGTAGAGGCGATACCTTGGGGCTGAGCAGGGATTTTGATTTGACTAAGGCGCCCAATTCTAACTTCTCTGGTAGATTTTTGCCCAGCGTTGACGTTTAGCTTAAATCTGATGCCACCAGAGCCAGCTCTGCCTTTCTCTGAAGGTTTGGTCTTATTTCTTCTTGAGTGTCCTCTTGGTGCTCCGGTTGACTGAGCTGTTCTCGCTGCCCTTTTTCGATTTTTGTTTGAACAATAAGTTGTATTTTGAATTCATCTTAATTTTTCATTTATATAAAAGAAAATTGGGGTTTTGGGGTTTTGGGGTTTTGGGGTTTTGGGGTTTTGGGG